GATACCTACACTTTAAGGCTAGCTTTATGGTTTGGAAAATTGTAGGCAATCTAGAATGTGGCAGAAGAGGTGTTTTTGGAACTGTCAAGCTGAGTTCAAAATATATTATTATCACCACCCCACTCCCCAGGACCAAAAAAAAACACTGGCTGTAAGCCATACTCACGCCATGTGGTACCATTACCGCTAATCACCATAGCTGAGTTACAAAACAAGTCATTTTCTCCTCCAGGCCATGGCTGGCTCTCACAAGTATTTGATAGGATGTTTGAAGGAGGCTATGCGCTAGGCAATCTTAAAGGTCCCTTTCATCTCTGGCACTTTATGGCTCTAAGATAAATGAGCTTTTTAAAATTGAGCCATTCTCAGAACCTTATGTAAAGCATTGTTTCTATGCAGAAAAGTTCTATACATCTTAAGCAACCAATTTAAAAAAAAATCAACTTTGGGAACATAATCTATGAAGACAGGACCTTCCTGTTTCTCATAAAATATTATCTGACATTTTCCTCTATATCCTTATTACTATAGTAAACATATTATCAGGTCAAAAATATTATTTGGAGAAAAAGAGCACATTAAAATTAAAGTAAGAAAATAAAATACTGCCTTTTCTTTACTACTAATAGGATTCTTATCGTCATCTTGGCATCTTAAATTTTCTGATAGAACAAGTCAAAGGCATTCCTTTCCCCTGTCCCTCCTGACTTTCCTCCTTCCTATTTATTGCCATTCACTAAGCCCTTCTGAAGTAACTTTTGGGTGCTCAAACCCAGGAGTTATATAAAACAGGGTTCAGGGAGACTGAGTTGGGCACTGTGGCAGATAATTAGGGATAAATGCCCCAATTATCCCTACGTCTTAGAATTTATGCCCTTGTGTATAAATGACATGACTTTGGGTGGGACCTGTGACTTGCTTCTAAATAGTAGAATATGGCAAAGGAAATGGGATATCACTTCTATAAACACATTATACAAGTTTGTAACTTCCATTCTGCCAGCAGACTCTCTGTGGATGCGCTCCCTGGCTGGCTTTGAAGTGAGCCGCTATAGGGAGTGGTCTAGGCCCCATGGGGAGGCCCATCCAGCAGGCAGCGAGGGAGTCCTCTAGCTGACAGCCAGGAAATAGCTAAGGCTCTCAGTACAACAATCCCTGAGGGCTGTGCTGCCAATAACCATGTGAGCCTGGAAGGGGAACTTTCCCAGCAGAGCCCAGCCCTGACTCACACCTTGACTACAGCCTGGGAGAGATTCTGAAGCAGGAGATCAACTTCAGGCATGTCCAGACTCCTGACCATGGTGAGATAGTAATGTGTCTGCATCCCGTTTTAAGCCACTACGCTTACGGTAATAGTGTTACCCAGCTACTGATAATTAATACAGGTGGACACATAGAATATAATTAGAGAACAACATAAATGCAACAGAAAAACAAATGTGAAATAGGAAAGTTCAGGTAATAAAGGTAAGATTATGACAGATAAAGTTAATTTTGAAATATTTCATAAAGAGACTAGTTATGAAACCCACCTTATGTCTTTCAAGAATTCATTGGCAGAGAGGTAGGGGAAACAACACAGAGGCAGAATCAACTGAATATCAACGCTACTACACTGAGGAACAGTGAGAGAAGGGTCTGAATCATGGGAGGCCTGGAGTGGCAGGAGCTGAGTGGGCTCGTTTTTGATACTATAGGCAACAACACTACGAGAAGGGCTCCTCAGCAGGGAAATGCCAATCAGGTGTCTTAAAGAACTTAATTTTATCACAGTATAAAGGATGGGGAAGACTAGAGGTAAGACCAGGAAGGAATATGCTAGCACAAGTCTTCAGGAGAGGCCAACAAACACATGAGGGAAAAAAGGTTCCCACTCATGAATAATCAAAGACACACAAACCAAAACTATAAAGAAACATTTTTTGGTTGATCAAATTAGTTAAAAATAAAAACTAGTAATACTAGCAAAGGTAAAGCAATCGTAATTCAATAAGCCCTTATTCCCACTGTTGGTGGGAATGTAAATGGAACAGCTTATATGGGAAGCCATTCAAAAATATGCATTAATAATCTTAAAATATTCAGACCCTCAGACTCAGTAATTCACTTCTTAGGACATATTCTAAAAAGAAAATAAATGTATTTACTCATTCAACAAACATTTAATTGAATGCCTACTATGTTCTAGGTACTGAGGATACAGCAATGAACAAAACAGACCTCATCTCTGTTCTTGTGGGTCTTAGAAGAGACAAACATTTAACGAATAATCACAAAATAAATGTATACTTACACATATTACCGGACACAATGAGAGTATTTTTAAATACTTGGTTTAAATTTGTGAGATCAAAAAAGACCTTTTTTTTGGAAGCAACATTTATACTGAGAACTGAAGGATGAGTGGAATTTAGCCATATGAAGAATGGGAGAAATTTTTTTTTTTTCTGATAGTGAAAACAATATTCATGAAGGCAAAAAAGAGTTAGTTGTATTCAAGATTTTAGAGTACTCATTCATTAACTTATTAAAAAAATATGTATGGAAGTCCTAGTAAGTACTATGTACTGGAGATGAGGATCAAGTTGAAATTATAGCAGACAAAACAGGTGTAAAAAATATGTATTGTATAGCTACAGAAGGGCTGGGTATTCATAATAAAGCCAACAATGTCTGAGGAAATGAGTGAAAAAGGAGAAAACCAATGCATTTAGCAGAAAAAAAGGAGAGGATGGAATAAAGATAACAAACATAAAGGTTTTCTGCCTGTTTCCAAACTCAGACTTACCTGAGAAACATATGTTCAAAATGTACCATTCTTTTTTTTTTAAAGTACAATTTATAGATAGAAATACTTAGATGGGTCAGCACTAAAATGCTCATACGCAGAGAAGAGGCAAGTAGAGGGAGATTAAATCTAGTAAATTTTAAACGTACACATGAGTTAGGGCATCTCTGTACTTCAGAAATTATTTTCCCTACAGCTATCCACGAGTGACTCTTGACTATGTTAAGCATTCAGGGAAAAGGAACCACTTTTTTGTAATAATAGCAGAGTCTCTTTGTAAGAGATCAAAATGTACATAGAATAATCCTAGGATTTGAAATTAAAAATTGAACAAATGAACCTCCATTAGGTTAAGTGTGAAAAGTGACATTTACACAAATTTTATAATGAGAATATTCTTGGAGTCATCAGCAAGTTGTAAAGGGAGCCACAGAAATAATTACAACCTCATGTGAGCAGCACACCTAAGGTATAGAGCCCTTTCCTCCTATTTCCTGAATTATCTAAATGGTGATATTGTATGTTTAGTACATGTCAACAGTATTAAAGAGTTAAACAATATTTGACAGCATGGACACTAGCTACATTAAAAAAAAGATATGTGGAATTCTTACTTTTTTTGCAACTTCTATGCAAACCTAAAATTATTAAAAAATAAAAAGTAAAAGCAAAAAATATAGGGATAGTGTTGCTATAAGAAATAATACAAGGCCTAAAATTTGTGTTATTTTCATGAGGCAATCAGAAAGGATAAATGAAACAATTCTTCAAGTTGCCCTGAGTCTGGTTTTCACATCTGCTGTCACGGGATGCAGGTGCACACAAGGGGAAAGCTCATGGTCCGCGTTGGATATTCCACTGCCCACCAGATGTTTGGAAAAGTCATTTCAGTATCTCTAAGCTTCTACTACATGCACCTCACAGGGTAGTGTCATATGCTTGTTCACAATGATGTGCTCCATAAATATTCATTATTATTATTTAAAATTTTATGTAGGCCTGGCTGGCATGGCTCAGTGGTTGAGCATGACCTATGAACCAGGAGGTCACAGTTTGACTCCTCGTCAGGGCACGTGCCTGGGTTGTCAGCTTGATCACCAATGTGAGATGTGCACGAGGCAGCCGATCAATGATTCTCTCTCATCATTGATGTTTCTATCTCTCTCTCCTCCCCCTTTCTCTCTGAAATCAATAAAAATATATTTAAAAATAAATAAATAAAATTTTATATATATAAACTTTATTATTCCTTCATTAAATGGAAGAATATCTCTGAGTTGTGATCAGCTATTAGGATTTCTTCACATTTGTAAAATTATCAAATTAATCTTATACTTTCCAGTAGGGACCCAGATTTGACCAACAGATTTATCTCATAATAAATATAGTTACTACACCCTGGAAAGTGCTTCATAATAAAAATATAGCCTAAAAACTATTTTTAAAATCTCCTTAGCCTTTCCAATACAGTTCATTAATTGAATTGGTTAACCTGTTACCTTAAAATTAGTTTGGTTAATTCTAAAGTCCTGTCTTTATTTATTAGACCTGTCTAATAAAGTTTGATGGAGACATAAATATATAGTTTAAACAAATATACTGACATCATACATAAACTATGACCAATAAAATATATTTCCCCCCCAAGACATTAAAAATGAAATAGCTCTTTTGAAGAAAAAACACACACAATTAAGTCAGAAATTTCATGAAATCCAAAAGATGAACCTTGAGAACCCAAAACAAATTTTAATGTCTGACAAAACAAATGCATCTTTTATAAAATTGGATTGATGTGTACTTATAAATTATGCATTGCAAGATGTTTCATTATAACTTTAATGTTTCAAAATCCATTATCATCCCTCTGTCTCCCATCAAGTATAATTGTAGGAAGAAAAATATCATGTTCTTTTCTGTACAACCAAAAAAGCTAACAGGAAAACAAGTACAAGAGCAGCTCACTCAAATCAAGCTTTTCCTCATTAAAACCTCAAGGTACCCCATTTTAACATGGTGGCTAATTTTGTTTTCTGGAAAATGTATTTATAGGCCAGGAATGATTCAAGTGGACAGTTATAAAAAAAATCAACAGGAGTCATATGAAAATAATATTCAGTAAGATATCTTTAAAACAGTAAGAAAAGCAGACTTCTTCCCCTCCCCCTTCCAAATTTCCATTGTGTTCATCATTCAGCAACATTCTACTCACTTCCGATGGGTGTGGTCCATGCCACTGTTTGGTATTGATTCCAACTCTGCATTTTTCTGCCCACAGATATTTCCATAGCTGTCGTATCCTGACACTAGTCTCGCTGCTGCACCTGTTGCTACTGAAAAGCCACAAATAAATCCCTAGGGAGAAAAACAGAAAAAAAAAATCATACAAATAAACCATTTCAATAGCAACAGTCACTACTTGATACGATAATGAGCTTCTTTTGTCTGATGAAGGAACAAAGAGCTCTTTCCTTGTTGCAAACACTATTCCACTGTTTTCCTAGGATTTCACATAAGCAGCACAAAGTAGTCCCGGGAAACACTATTTACTAGCATAACAAAAGAAATCTCTAAGCTTCTGCATCATAAGATCGTCTTTGCATTTCATACTAATAATAGCAACCTCTCTGTATTGAACATCTGCTCTATGCCAGGCTCTGTACTGGGTGCTTACCATACATTATCGCTAATCCTCACGATGAGGAAACTGAGGCCCAGAGAGGTTCAATACGTTTTCCAAGGACACAGGACAGAATCAAACCCAGCTTTCTTCTTCTTTCTTTATTTTTTTAGTTTTATTTGGTTGTAAAGGAGTCCTATTAAATAAACAATAGCAATGGATGAAAGAAAAAAAAACACAAAGAACAATAGGTCTGCGGGTTTTGAATTCGTATCACTTCAGTGCACACAACTTCTATTTGCTTCCTGCAATAAAGCTGTATATAAGCCAAAGAATTACACCACGAGCACTGCCATGCTCTTAATATTGGAGAATCCAGGAGAGTGAGGCCCGGGTCCGGGTGCCACAAAGGCCACTTCATTTCATGGGAACATGTTTCAGCACAGTGCCAAAGGCAAAGGGCAGATGCCTCACAGCTGCATTAGACTTGCTAAGTCGAGTGCATGCTGCTGACCAAAACAGAGCAATAACGCCTGAATAGGCTGCTGGGCGTATAGGCAGTAGGGTGAATCACCATTGATTCACTGAATTGGGAGGGAAGACTGGGGTTAAGATATATTCTTGGTCATTACAAGCTTGAGTTTTTGTTATCTTTATGAAAGTGGCTAATGAAGGCAGAAATGGCCACTGTTTACCCATCATAACCGAGTATCACGAGTAGTACCAAGTAGCTCCTGTAAGTGAAACTGTATGCATATACAGGCTAGATCTCGGGCCTCCAGTGGTAAGAACTATACACATATGCAGTTCCTCAGAGAATAGTATTTCTCTCTTAAACATGCTTCCCAGAAAAGGTGAACAAATTTTTCTTTTCTAAATAATCTCTATTTTTATCATTTAAGTAAAGAAAGTGAGGCAGGGAGAGTAGAGTATAGCTCTAGCTAGTAGAAACTTCTTGAAACTACACTTTGTAAGAAAGCAGAATCAGTAGCGACTATCCCTGATTTGCTATCCTGCTCTCGGATCCTTGCCAAGTTACTTTAACTCTCTGTGCCTCAATTTACTGGCCTGTAAAATGGAGATAATGGTAGCTCATAAGGCTGCTGTAAGGATTAAATGAAATAATCCAGTAAAGTGATAAGGTTTCAATAAATATTAAGAGGTCAATAAATAAGAGATGAATAAATATTAGCTATTATTGTTAGAAATGAGAACATGCTGTAATGGAAAGACCATGGGCTTTGGGTCAGATAACCCTGCACTGATCAATTTTCTCCTTATGTGAACTTGGACAAAATTCAAGAAGTTAATGGCTAAACTCTCCAATAGGGATCTTTAACAAAAAGCATCCCAGAGTAATAGGAAGGGAACCAAAAAGACCTGATTCACACCCTCAGTCAGCCACTAACTACCTGCATGACTTTGATCCAATTACCTACTAAGAGTGTCTCCTCTTCATCCCTAACACAGAGTACTGAGGCTTCTTACCCAAGGTTTCAGTTACCCATAGTCAACCATGGTCTGAAAATATTAAATGGAAAATTCCAGAAATAAAACTATTCGTACGTTTTAAATTGCATGCTGTTCTGAGTAGGGTGATGAAATCTCACTCCATACTCCATCCCCCCTGGGACGTGAATCATCTTTTTGTCCAGGGTATCCAGGCTGTATGGGCTACCTCCCCGTTAGTCACTTAGTAGCTCTCTTGGTTATCAGATCAACTGCCACAGTATCACAGTGCTTGTGCTCAAATCACCCTTATTTTGCTTAAGGGTGGCTCCAAAGTATAAGAGTAGCGATGCTGGCAATTCGGATATGCCAGAGAGAAGCCATAAAGTATTTCCTGTAAGTGAAACTGTATGCATTTATAGGGAAAAAACATAGAATAGTTGGGTTCAGTTTTGGTATCCACTGGGTCCTGGTAGGTATCCCCTGTGAATAAGTGGGAGACTATTTGTTGTTGTTGTTGTTTTGTTAATTCTCACCTGAGGATATTTTTCCCACTGGTTTTAGAGAGTGGAAGGAGGGGGAAGGTAGAGAAAAAGAGAGAGAACATCGATGTGAGAGAGACACATTGATGGGTTGCCTCCCGCACACACCCCAACCATGCCGGGGAATCAAACCTGCAACCCAGATATGTGCCCTTGACCAGAAATCAAACCCTGGACTCTTTGGTGCTCAGGCTGACGCTCCAACCACTGAGCAACACTAGCCAGGGCTGGGGAGGGGGGACTATTGTAATACCTATTTCACAGCCTAATGATGAGAACTAAAAGTGATAATACATATCTAGGCCCTAACTGGTCTGATACATGGCAGGTAATCAATACACGGTAGCTGTTAGGGGTAAATTTGTGTTAAGTCAGACTAAAGAGGTTGACTAACCAAAAACCCCTTCAGTTCTCTATTTTGGAACAAAAATTTCTTGGGGAATAAAATTGAGAACTATTGTCAGTAATTGTGTTACTACACGGAAATATTCAGACCAGTTACAATCTTCTTTCAATACTAGTCTAAAATAGCAAAGTCCTTACATCATTAAGGTTATATTCTTCTTCCACTTTTCATAGAAATTTTCTTCTTGTGCTTGATAAGTACCTAGTGTTACAGAATCCTTTAAATGATTTCTGATTTTCTGTTCTATTTTTAATAGTACCATTGGACACCTGGGTTTTGTGGGTTTGTGTTTGTTTGTTTTTTAATCAGAGTATAAGTGATAAATGTCACAGATATATGGTAAAATGGGGCACTAACATATTTTCATATCGGCCATGTAGCTCCCAAAAGCATTCGAGTAGAAAGGGTAAGAAGCTTCAGGGGAGGAAGGAAGGAGAGGAGTGAGAGAATAAGCTAGAAAGAAACCACAACTGCTATCCCAGGGACTTCCCATATGGTACAAGCATTGATAACGGGGAACGAGGCCAAATATAATTTAAAAAACAACCTGTTTTAAAAAGAGATCCTGAAATCCACACACGGGAAACAATATAGTTTCAGATGAGAAAAATAATATAGTACATGAAATTAAAACAGTGTGAGAAGCTTTACAGAACACAGTAATTTAATGCCTCCACAGAGGGTGGGGGTGGGGTGGGAGCAAGCACTCAACAGAAGGAAATCACATTCATAAAGCAAATGATAAGAGAGATGAGGAAAGCTTTTATCCTACTACAATCGGGAGCAATCACGGAGAGAAAGTAAGCCTATTAGTAAGGAAGAGAAAACCTTGGCTAACATCTAAAAGTGACTGAGTTACTGAAGTGCTTTCAGAACTGCTCTTAAGAGAGAGAGGAGGAGCAGACACATCTAATGACAAACAAGAAGTGACTCAAATCAGAAGAAGGCATACAGAGAGGATGGGTCTCAGGCAAGATCTGGACACTAAGTGCCTATTGCTAAGTAGGAGAAAGACAATTTGCTAGATCATAAACGGTGCTCATTCTCCCTTCATGTCTCAAGGTTTAGTTCGACATAAGAGCTTCTGCTTAGTTTCATTCATTATTAGTCAAAATAACAGGCATATTTTATTTCACAAGCATGGAACCTTTAAGTGCAATGGAAAGGTAGAAAGCCTTAGTTTTGTTTTGAAACAGAAAGATCAACAAAAACATAAAGGGTAGAGGGAGTATGAAGTATGAATATGGCAAAATGTTTCAAAATAAAGAGAGAGGAAAAAGGCTTATGCTTACAGCTCTTTCCCAGAAATTAAATTATATCCAGGTTCTTCCCTCCACCTCTCCCCACCGCCCATTCAAATACTACCTCCTTTAGCTCTATACATCTCTTATCTCAACCAATGTTTAGCATCAGTCTCCTGACAGCCAGTTTGTCAAACCTTGGGGCAATATGTGGCCTGTTGCTCCCGAGAACACTGAGACAAAGAAGACTTTTAGACCCAGCAGACAGGGTAGGATTAGAATGCCCGATGCAGAACTATTGTTCATGCAAACAAACTAAAAAAAGTTGAGTTAAAATTTCTGACAATCTGCTAGATTTCTTTAAAGTTAAGTAGGATGCATTACTCTAAGAGGAGAGTGGAAGACAATAATGATGGGAAGCTAGGAAATAACCACTCAACAAATATTTATTAAGTACACACATACAAATGAAAGATTTCATGCAAGGTACAAAAGGGCTTTAATACAATAAAGTTTACCCGAGAAAAACTGAAATGTCTCAAAAGAGAAGAAAATAATGGGATGTGAGGGAGCAAAATCAGGGAAGCTGGTTCTTGAGCAGCTTAAGCAAAAAAACAAAAAACACAAAACAACACAAAACAAGCAAAACAGCACAAGGACTATCAGGAACTAAACCCAGCTCTGCTGCAAATACTCATGATCTAGGGCAAGTCACTTTCAATTCTCTAAACCTCAGTTTCCTCACCTATAACAATGATTGGACTACATTAATCTCAAAAGCCGTTTATGCTGTCACAATTTTATGATTCTAAGGGAAAATAGGTACAAAGTAAATGCTTTTCAGGGTATCCTTGCAGAGAGAAGTAAGTATAAATCCATTTGGTCCACAACAGTGACTGAGGTGGTAAAAAAAACACACAACAAGAATAGACTAAAATCAAAATGAATTGAACTAACCTGTATGCTTAAAAATAGTTAAAATGGATTTAACAAAACTTAAACTTTAAAATATACATTATATAAGCCTTGTTATGCATATTTTACCATAATTTGTAAAATATGTTTTAAAGAAAACAAAGATAAACCAGAGGATTTAAGAGAAGGTAGGTAGTCATCTGGATCAGGTAGTCTTAAGGTAGTTTTCGGCTGTTCTTCCTATTCCATGATCCTGGCAAAGCACAGACCATCACACAGGTGACAAAATATTGCAGTGAGCCTGAGTCTCTCGCTCCGTGCTGCTCTCAACAACAGTCAGTGAGGCAGAAACCCTGAGATCTGGGAACTAGACTCAGGCTATAAAATGAAAAGGGTCCTCAAGAGCAGTCTGGAGGGACAAACTCTGCAATGATGACGCCTGCATCAGCTGTAGTCCAGATCACTGCCCCAAATTCCAACTCTGCGTTTCCAATTGCTTATCCTTCCCCATACATTTTATGTGTCAAAGTCATCCTCTCATTTCGCCAAACCACTTCCCTTTCCTGCACACACCCTCTCTCCTTTTGGAGCATCCCTATTTACTAGATTGCACACGTCAGACAGGAGTGAGAGGCTGTTTCAGTTCTCTCTCCACAGCTTCTGGCAGCACCCCAGCTTCCTGACTCTACACTAGAGGAAGCGGTGTTGCTCAACTATTTGCTCGGTGTCTGAAATATTGATTGGACCACATATTACTGGCAGGTGACGTGTGTCCTACAGGTCCATGTTCTGAACAACTTTTTATTTTGCTCCCCGTTCCAGGCAACAAAAGGGATTGTCTCTCGAAGCCTCTCCTACTTCCTCTCTCTCCTGTGTTCAGTGTTGCCCCTGTGTGATCTCGACAAGCTATTTAACACAGCTGGGTGCCTCTGTTTCCTTATCTCTAAAATGGGAATGATAATGATAATGTCTACTTCATTGAGCAGTTTTGAAAATTAAGTATGTTTCTGTGTCAAGAACTGCAGGCCTCGAGTTTGACATACTTGCTTTACATTAGGGATTGAACCCGCAACCTAAGTATGTGCCCTGACCGGGAATCAAACCTGAAACCTTTTGTGTACGGGACAATGCTCCAACCGAGCCACTGGCCAGCGCTCTTTCCTGCCTTTTATGTTAAGTTGATCTGGGCTGACTTGGTCCAGATGGACCTCTTTTCTCTCCTCTTCTCTTCTCACATATTCTTCTCCCTGAGACAGAAGTAAGTCAGACCATCCAAGATGGGAAGGACCCTTAGCCCAAGTTTTATTTCACAAGTCATTTTAAAATGGAGTATTTACTGGATATAATAATCAGGTGTCTGCTGAGCTACTAATAAAGTACTACTTTGTTTACCCACCCCATTCTTGCTACCTCATGTGTACAGAAGCCATAGTTTAGAACCGATGAGGAGATAATGTAGGACGAACTAAAAAGCCCTACCCTGAACTTCTAACATAAGAGCCTCTTAGTCATCTTTAATCTCTCTCTCCTTGCCTGCAATATTGATGACTCCAAAATCTACTTTTAAAATCTCTCTCTTCTCTTCTTATTTCAGGTTTTTCACCTCTTATCTGGACTATTGCATCCACAGTAGTCAGCCTGAATCTCTTCTTCCTTTACAATGGCTGTACAAGCATCTTTAACATTGACCACCAGCGCTATCTTTCTAAACCCAATCTTATCATTTCTTGCTCAGAATTCTTCAGTGGCTTATCAGTGCCTACATCAGTGGGTCTCAACCCCGGCTGAGCATTAGAATCACAGAGATTAAATCACTAAGGTGGGGCCTCGGAATGAGTACTTTTTAAAAGATCCCAGCTGATTCTCATGTGCAACTAAGGTTGAGCACCATTTTTAATTACTTTAATGAAAAAAATAAACATTTAGAAGTACAATGTGACATGTAATTTTTTTTTAGAGCAGGATAAGCCCGCAACCTACGTCCAATAATTTCAAAATACTGATGAAAGTTCATGTGGAAGGGGACAGCTCTCAAGAAGGCTGATAGAAATTTACTTTGAAAAATACCCTAAGTTCTAGACAAGTGTGGAAAAACCCTGAAAGTAAGGGAAGAAATAATAGTACAAATATCTATGAAAATAAAGTAAACATGTATAAATAAAAATATTTATTGGAGACGATGAGTGAAAGATGGCAAGATCTTAAAACATTTCAGAGCAGGAGCATAGTCATTAAGGAGTGAGCAAAGAGCTGCAAGTAAAGGTAGTGAACAAGGTATGGTTTGAATATTAGGCCACAGAAGGACCGAGAAAGGAGACTCTGAAAGAAGCAGCTGCTGGGCCACATGTGAAAAGAATATAGCAGAAAGTTCCAGTTCTATCTTTGCCATTTATTACCGTCAGTATATTCTTAGACAAACTAATATTTAACCCTGCTATTCCCTGTCTGTAAACTGGGAATAACCCTATCTCAGGATAATTGGGAGAACTTGGTGAGATAAATACATCTACGAAAGCCTCGAGCATACATTAATTCTCATGTTTCTCTTTAAATTAATAACAGAATAAAATCCAAAAGAAAAAAACAACATATAAAATAAATACTCAGAAGACAAACTTTGAACTACTGTTGTGCCTGAACTACTGTTGGGCAACAGAACTTGGAGATTTCTCTAGTTTCACATGGCAAAATTTGATGTTAGCTCAACTCCATGAAGGTAGTAATCCATTAAAAGAATCATTCCAAAACAAACAACGCTATGCGTGCATTTAAAAGTACACGCAGTGGGTCTTAACTATCATCACACTAAAATCAACCTTATATTAATTACCACTGCATTAAACCATTTCAATAAACAAATAGCTCCTTTCTCACAAGTCACTCCCAAGCCAGCCTGTTAACATTAATGATTGCACTTTCCTGAGCTATTTTAGCACAGAAAATCAAAACATCTACCTGGGTGGCAGGTACATGTTTTTATAAACATAATTTTGAAAGGTGAGCTGCTACCTGTCCCTGGGTTAAATTCGGGGGTGGGGACAAGCTGCGGACTAATTCTGTTAGCAAAGACTCTTCCCACAGTCTCCACGCATATTCATGCATGCTGCACTGCAGTGACCATGCCACTAAACTAAGTGGACTCTTGAACACTAGAAGTCCTAAGTTAGGAAGTGGTATTTTTGACTTTTCTAAATATCCTAAGTTTGCTGAAACTGAGCTGTCTATCATCTTTACAATTTCTGCTGCATTTATTCTATCTCATTAAAATTTACTGCTTTCTTTCCCTTGTGTCAGGGGCAGAACTGGCACCTATAATTAGGCCTAGTAGCCACGATTAGGGTTGTTCTGTAATTCTCAAATGGTATTTGTGATGTGGGCAGTTACAGAGAGACACAGAATAAGATCTTCCTAAAGCATCTGTATAAAAGGCATGGAAAAGGGGGGGTTAAAAACATTACGCTTATGTGGACAAGGGGCTGCCCGAGGTAGCATGATTGTGTTTTGAGCTGTGAAGACTATGAGAGAGAGGAATACTGTCTGCACAGCCCACCTGGGGAAGAAGGAACCTGGTGGCAGAAGGAGCACGGGCCTGGAAGTTATGAGACTGTGGCTCTGTTCCCAGCTCTGCCATTCCCTAGCAGTGTGGCCTTGGGATGGTCATATCCATCTCTGGGTCTGATGTGTTTAATCTGCAAAATAAGGGTGACAGGCCAGATGAGGCTCTCCAAGTCTTGTCTAGCTCTAAACATCCGTTAGCGCTAAAGCAGCTGTTTCCTATCCTTTTGAAGCCTGTATCAGAAATTACTGCAGGGCAGAGCGGGTTTGCACTTTGGAGAAGGACGTTCCCAACACTTGGCACCAGGGACTCTGCTCCTACAACCTCTAGCCCCACTGGAAAGTCACCAGGTTCCTTGATCTCCACTGAGAGATGCCACTCACTACAGCAGACACAGCAGGCAGCAGGGGCCTGTGTGGGCAGAAGGAGGAAGGAGCAGTGAGCAACCAGCCACTCCACTTAGGAAGAACTAAAAAAATGTCAGAACTGGAAGCACTATAGATACCATCTAACAAAATCTCTAATTTTATACAAAGGAACATGAGGAGAAAATGAACTGACACAAAAATAGCCATCAGGTTTGTATAACCAGGTTGGATAAATACTCAGGAACCTGGACTCCATGGCCAGTGCTCTGTTCACCACCCCACCAAGATCAGGCTTTCTGCCCTGGCCACGTGGCACAATTGGTTGGAGGCTGTCCCGTGCACCAAAAGGTTGTGGGTTCAATCCCTGGTTGGGGCAACCAATTAATGTTTCTCTCTCACATCGGTATTTCTCTCTCCCTTGCCATCTCTCTAAAAATCAATAAAAACATAACCTCAGGTAAGGATTTAAAAAAAAAATCTGGCTTTCTGAAATGATCACTTAAATTTTGATGGTTTCTTTTTTTTAAAATTGATTTTTAGAGAGAGAGAAGAAGGGAAAGAGAGAGAAACATCGTACTGCTGTTTCACTGATTTATGCATTCATTGGTTGCTTCTTTGTGTGTGCCCTCACCAGGGATCAAACCGAGGGGTACCAGAGAGTACCAGTAAATTGTATGGCAGAAAAATAACTTGCTTCGGTGGTATCCTATGACCTCCAGTTATATAAGCAGGATCAGGAGGAATGAAAAATAAATAACTAAATAACAGGCTCCCTCTTTAAACTGACTCCCATCATTCCCCTGGATCATGAGTTCAGGTTCTGGTCATCTGTGAGTTTCCTTACCATCCCAATGCAGAAGAGGAGAAAAATCAGCAGCCATGGTAGGTCTGTGCAGCTACGATCCTCCAGGGGCTTCCATTCTCGCTTGGAGCTCTAATTGAAAATACAAAATAAGGGAATGGTAAATGTTAAATGTCGTTAAAATTAGGAAAGCACAAACCTACCACTTACACCTAGATCCCCTCTTTAAAAAAAATGTTTTTATTGACTTTCGAGAGAGAAGAAGGAAGAGAAAAAGAAAACATCGATGTGAGTGAGAAACACTGATCAGTAGTCTCCTGTATGCACCCGACTGGAGATAGAACCCACAACCTGGGTATGTGCCTTGCCTGGGAATCAAACCGTGACTTTTACCACTTACACCTAGAGCCCCTCTTTAAAAAAATATTTTTATTGATTTTCGAGAGAGAAGAAGGGAGAGAGAAAGAAAACATCGATGTGAGTGAGAAACACTGATCAGTAGTCTCCTGTATGCACCCGACTGGAGATAGAACCCACAACCTGGGTATGTGCCTTGCCTGGGAATCAAACCGTGACTTCCTGGTTCATGGGTCGACACTCAACTACCAAGCCACATCAGCAGGGCAGTATGGTGTTTTTAATATGAATAAACAAATGAACAAATTCTTCCAACTTCAATCTTAGCGGTAGCTTTTTCTTAGTGTGTCGAGATGCTAGATTTAAAAATTTAGAAAGTGCTTTCCATATGTTCTTTCCTAGGAAGGAAACCCATTAAAATGAATTCCTATTCAGAGGTAGGTTCTTCTAAGTCTTATAAAATTCAGGGAGGAAAAAAAAGCTAAGTTAAGACAACTTTACAGACAGATCTGGGCAACTCCGAAATCATCATCCATCCATAAATTTTCATTCCCTTTCTGGAAAATGTCAACAGTTTCTATTTCAAACACAGAGTTTGCCTAACTAAAGAACTAGAGGCATTCTGAAAGTTAATTTGCTTTAGGTGTGGGGTGGGTGGAGATCAATGGGGGAAAGAAGGGAACATATATAATACTTTCAACAATATAGACAAATTACTAGTTAAATAAAAGTTAATTTTCAAAGTATTAGATTGGAATTCTAATTATATTTTTTCTTAATCTTCACCTGCTGATATGTCTAGAGAGAGGAGGAGAGAGAGGGAAGGGAGGGAGGGAGGGGTAAAAAGTGAAAGAGAGAAAGAGAAACATCCATGGGCTGCCTCCCGCACATGCCCCAACCAGGGATCGAACCTGAAACCTAGGCATGTGGCCTGACTGAGAATGGATCACACAGCCTTTTGGACGATGCTCTAACAAACTGGGCCCCGGGTCACGACTTACATTTTTTTTCTTACAACAACTGTCTTAGGTTCTCAAGTCAGCTCACAAACTCCTTTTAACTACGATATAACGGAAATAACACTCCTGAGCTTGTTAACAAACAAAAATCCCTGAGTCTCATTCCCTCTCCTGGAAGCAGGAAGCAGAGAGGGAGAGAGAAGGGAGCCTTGGGAAACCTATGGACAAAGCTCCTGCGAAAAGAAGGCTGAGCCTCCGTGGCTTCCATGAAAGATCCAGGAAGCCATCTGGGGAAGGCTTGCCGGTGGGAAGGGTGCAGAGGAAGGGGCTGGAGATAAGGAAGCCCTCTAGTATAATTAGAATGTAGCATGTAAGAGTGGGGAACCAGTCCTCCACCGGGTTTGCTTAGGTTTGCCTCCCTCTAAAAACAAAGAGCTTTTCATTATGTACCCTTTGATAACTTGATGAAAGCTGCAGATGCATTTCTGGGGAGGTAAGCATATATTTGCATAATTTTCATAAACATTTAGGGAATTTAGATTAAGAAACTCAACCTTAAAATACCTGCCTGTCAACACTGCGGGCAGAGTGTCTGAACTCCAACCACTTCCTCCTGACCCCTTAAATGGGGACTAGCTAAATGCCTTTTCCTTGTTGAGGGCCTTACACGGTTCAGTTGTTCAACAACAACAACAAAAAACATCCCACCACTCTTGATAGCTGGCTCCCAGACACCCACACAAGAACAAAGAACACTAGTTAGTCATGGAAAAAACACCTCACCCCAAGACTCCAGCATTAAAAACCAAGAGTGAGTAGGCAGCTTTTTCCAGGGGAATGTAGCATTATGGCAAACGGATAAGGGACACTGCTCTCTCCCTGGCTCTGTCATTAGTTAGCTGCATGACTTCGGATAAATTGCTTTATACCCCTGGGTGGCAGGAAGGAATTAGATTGGACCTCGCAGGTTCCTTCCAACTCTAAAAATCTATGATCAGGAATGCAGTTTTGTGAAAATGTTTGTTATGACAAGAAAAAAACCTGCAAAAATAATTTGACATTATTCCTGTTATTCAACTTGAATGCCTATATTATGAGCTGTGTTTTGGATGACAGTTTCTCACAGTATGAATAAAGAATGTTTCTTTGTATTAAATTATTTCAATCTTGAGTAATACCCATTACAGTAACATTACTTAGAAACGCAGAATGTGGACTCCTCTTTGAAATGCATAATATTTACTCCAAGGTAATTTCCAGGGCAATAGCTACTTTAAGACACTCTATTTGTTTATCTTAACAAGCAGTATGTATTGGGGGGCAGAGGACCTCAGATTGATTTCTTTATCCACAACTATTTTCTTAGTATTTTTGCCGGGGGCCAACATTCGGTTTTCAATGCTTTCATTTTCATCTAAAACATAAAGAAAGTGGAATTTCAGCCTTGACCAGAAAAAAAACCCCAAAGGATTCTATATCTCAGCAATTCAATTCAACTTACTGTGGGCCACTTCTGGGCCAAATACACAGAAAACCTTCCAGTGGGGATGAGAAATGGAGAGGGGAGAGGAATACATGGAAAAGACTGTGGCCTGTGGCATAGTACAGAGTGGAAGAACCCAAGAAGGGGGGCGGAGGGGCGGGTCACGCCCACTCAGATCAAGAAAATCTCCTCAGAGCAGAGGCAGCTTACTTCACAGGGCTGTTCTGAGGATTAGATGTGAGCACCTGCCACATGGTAAAGCTCTAATTCTTGGCTATCAGTCTTATTCATCAACACTCACTTTTCAGTGAACCTTCTCCCTATTGTTATACTATCCTTTTACTAAGTGGATCTTCCCAGTAAGAGGAATAAAAAGAATATAAAACTTGGCTTTCCCCTTATATTAACTAAAAATTTGACTTAATGGTAGCAAATTTCATTTTAGCTACTGTTTTAATGCTATCAGTTATTGACTACTACTGACTAGGCACTACCCCCAAAGCTTTACACACATTATGTATTCTACCTTTAAAACAGCTCTCTGATGTAGATATCATACCCATTTCACAGATACGGAAAATCAAGGCTCAGAAGTGAAATGATCACAAGGCTTCACAGCTGTGCAATTTGAACCCAAGTCTGTGACTGCAAAGCCAAACCCGACGAGAATTGCATCCATTTGCACTAGTCAGTAAAGAGCAAAAACCTCCACGAGTTTTTTTCTCACCCTGCAAAACTTGGGAGCCAATCCAATAACTTAAAATCCAGTAGGCACAGGAGAAGAAAGTGAGGTGTTTTATGAACCATAAAATATCTCAAACGAGTCAGGAAACCCAACAGTTGAAAAATTTTAATGATTCTATAACAGATTTAACCAAGTGGCAACTGGATTTAATGCTGCCTATTTCCTCCTATTAAAATCCACACAGACCTGGCAAAAGTAAAATGTTTTGCAAAAGCACTTTTTAAATGTGACTTTTATCTGCTTCTCAAGTTCTACATGAGATTAATACAGGCTGTCAGTAAATGTTAAGTCCCCTTTGCTTCACAGAGTCATACAATTAGGAACTAAATAGGACCAAAGTAATGACACAGTGAAGCCTTTCATGAGAATCACAGATCTGGGGGAAGGGAAGAAGAGACTTGCCCAAGGAACCTCATTTGATCCTCAAAACAATTCTGTTAGTTATTATTATATATTCCACTTTTTTTTTACTTTGTAAAAGAAAAAACCCAAGTTCAGAGAAAATAAGTGGAAAATCTATTTGTGAATCATGGGTCCTCAGACTCTGGCCGAAAGATGGAAGCTGTAAGAAAGAGTTAAGGAAATGCTGGAAATAAAAAACATGGTAACAGGCATGAAGAATGCACGGTCAGGCTCATCAGTAGACTAAACACAGTCAAGAATCAATAAACACAAGGATAATTCAATAGAAATGATGCAAAGTTAAACACAAAGCAAAAAAGTGAAAATTTAAAACCCAGAACAGAGCATCCAAGAAGTATAGGACAATACCAAATCATCTAACATATGTGTCATTGGAATTCCAGAAGGAGAAGATAGAATGGGGCAGAGGGAACCTTAGATGAAATAATGGCTGAGAATTTTCCAAATAATAAAAGAAATCAAAGCACAGACCCAAGAAGCTCAGAGAAATCCAGGCAGGATTAATACAAACAGAATTAGCACGCATGCATGGAAGAGTACACGCACGCACACACACATGCGCACACACACACACACACACACACCCTGCATATATTATATTGAAACTGTTGAAAATCAAAGATAAAGAGATCATCTTGATGGCAGCAAAAAGAGAAAAGACACATTACATACAGAGAAACAAAGGTTAAGCAAACTTGTCAGAAACCATACAAAGCCAAAACACATGGAATGACATCTTTAAATTACTGAAAGAATTGAAAAACAACAAAAAACAAAACAACAACAAAAAAACACTCTTTACCCAGAATCCCATATCCAGAGAAAATGTCTCTCAGAAATGAAGACTTTTTCAGACAAACAAAACCTAAGAGTATTTATAAGCAGCAAACTGAAATTACCAAAAATGTTAAAGTTCTTCAGGCAGAAAGAATATGACACCAGACAAATATCCATGTACACAAAGAAATAAAAATTTCCAAAAATAGGTGAAATGGAGGTTTAAATTTTTCCATAATAAAGGTTTTTGAATTTTAAAAATAATGGTGTCAATATATGTTTATAATGACACTAGAGGCCTGATACACGAAATTCGTGCAACAGTAGGCCTTCGCAGCGTGGCAGCTGCCTTGACCCTCCCTCGCAGCCATGGGGCTGCCTGGATCCC